AAGGGGAGACTTCTCCACTTGTAGTAAAAAAAATAAAATAAAATAAAATAAGTGTGGGGGGAAGCCAAATTGCCTTCCAGGGCTCTGTTGCTGACTCCAGCGCTTGGACCAAGGAAATAAGGAAAGGGGGGGAAGGAATGCAAACTCACTGACACGAGACTGCCATCTATTTCTGCATTACTGCTCGCGGCGGAATGCAATCGTTGCGCTTTATTTTGGGGAGGTTGCATTTTCCTCCTCGCCGGCGCGCGCTCCCATTAACCCGGCTCCGCGGCGCGCGAGTGCGCTCGCGCGCTCCTGGGCTCCGATGCTGCTGGCGCGCGCTCTGGCGCTCTCTCTCTCCTCCCTCCCCTCCGCTCAAACCGTGGGATCTGGAGAGGAAACTGTCCATTAAGGCAGCGCGTGACCATGTAAGGTAAACAGGGGGCGGGGAGAAAAAGGCCGTTCGTGAAGTCACCGCCGCCCAATCGGCAGCCAGAGCGACGGTCGGGTGGGCGGGACCCAACACGGAAGGGACGTTGGGATTGGACCAGGGCTTCAAGCCGGCTCCCGCCTTATAAGGCAGTGGATGGGGGAGCTATTTTTAGAGGACTATATAAAGGGGGACGGACGGGGGGGATTCGCGCTAGGCTTTGACAGAGAGAGAGAGAGAGAGAGAGAGAGAGAGAGGACATAGTGGCGCGCGCATCAGGGCGCGCGCGTGTCCACAGTTTGCAGCGCTGGTTTCTAACTCCGGTGCATGCAGGTTGCAAAAGGAGAGTGTGGGGAGGGGGGAGAATTTTATTTATTTCATTAATAATTTTATTTTTTTTAATGTTTTATATTAAAATATTTTTGAGTAAACATTTTGTTACTGTTTTTTAAAAAAATTAAAATTAAATTTTAATAATTTATTTAATAATAATAATAATGATAATAATAAATAGGTTTTATTTATATCCCGCCCCTCTGTCATGCAATCGAGGTGGCTCACAGCAATTTAAAAACTTCGTACAATATTAAAATACAATCCCAAAATCCCACAACCACCCCACCCCTTAAAAGAGAATTAAACAATTTTTATTTTAAAACAAGATAGTTAAAAAAACACATAATTAAAACAAGCCATAGCCAAACAACAACAACAATAACACCTTGAGGAAATCTTAGTTCATCCAAGGTCTTTTTTCTTTCCTTCCCCTTCTCTTTCCCTTTTGTTTGGGAAACATGCATCTATATATATAACTCTAGATAAATGTATATTAATAATAATAATAATAATAATAATAATAATAAGTATGTTTATAATAATATAATAAAAATAAATAAATAAATGTATATTCATTAAGCTATAATCTATATAAATGTGGCCATAGAGCAGGGTATAAAGACTGCTAATGAATAAATAATAAATTAATAAGGAAATGTATGTTTCATTAAATGTTTGTTTCATTATTAAATAAATGATTTTCCCTATATGTTCCTTTTGAAACTTGAATTCATTTTATGAAATAAATAAATCAATAATTTCCATGCACTCCTTTTGAAGCTTGAATGCCATCCAATAAATAAATAAATAAATGTTTCAATAAATGAATTTTATTTTGGTGTGGTTTTTTTTTTAATGAAATTGAGAACCAAGGGGTGTCTTTGTGCCTCAGCAGGGTGCATTTGTGGAAAACCTGGGCAAAACATGAAATTGAAATAACCCAGCAAGTGCATTTTTTTAGCACCTTTGAGATTGACTGAAAAAAAAAAAAGAAATGAGTTTGTAGTATGAGCTTTCATAGACTTGGTACAAACTTTTTTTTTTTTTTTGGTTAGTCTCAAAATCTCTGTACATATAAATTCTGCAGACTAACACAGCTACGGTATATCTTTAAATTCTACCACTATGGAAAGCACCAAATTTAGACAAATGAAGTGGAAAATCCATCAGCCTCTTCAAGAAACTTGCCCAGATACAGAAAGAGCTTCCTCAAGAAGTTCAAACAACCAGATGTCGTTCCTAAGGACCTATTTGTGGGGAGCCCTTTGCAAACTATGTATCATGTAGAGCAGGGGTAGGCACCCTTTCCCCTTTAAGGGCCGAGGGACTTCAGTTCCCAGAATCCCAGGAGCTCTTGGCCAACATGGGACTATTGGCCAACATGGCTGAGGCTTCTGGGAGCTGAAGTCCCTCGGCCCTTAAAGGGGAAAGGGTGCCTACCCCTGATGTAGAGCTCATGGGTTTTAACCATGCTGGCTGGGCCTGCAGTAACCAACATTCCTTTTCCGTTATTTTCAGTTAAACTCCTGCACTCCTGTCTGCCCCTGGCTTCCACTCCACTAAAAGCATCTGAAGAAGTACACTCGTCCCTCCACATTCGCTGGGTTACAGGCACAGGGCCCTCGTGAATGTGGAAGAAACACAAATAACAAAAACACTATGTGTTTACCTCAGAGAACACCTCTCTAGGAATCTCTAGGTCCTCCAGGGCAACTTTGTGGTCAACATCTGTCAGACATTGAGCACAGATTTGCGCTGAAGGAGCTGCAAATGCCTAGAGAAGTGTTCTCTCTAGGAATATCTAGGTCCTTCAGTGTGACATTTGGTTAAAGTTGACCATAGAGTTGCGCTGGAGGATCTAGGTATTCCTAGAGAGAGCATATTAATAAAATCTGTGAATAATCAAATCCACAAAAGTCAATGCCATAAATGTGGAGGAGCCAGTGTAGACTAATGTCTACAAAAGCTCATGCTACAAACCTCTTTGTAGCCCCTTTGAGACTCACCAAAGGAAAGAAGTTGGCAGCATGAGCTTTCACAGAATTCAGTGTACTTCCTCAGGTGCATCTGAGGATATAGACTGGTGTCTGTGAAAGCTCCTGCTGCCAACTTCTTTCCTTTGGTGAGTCTCAAAGGGGCTACTAGGTCTCTATATAATAATAATAATAATAATAATAATAATAATAATAATAATAATAATACCACCAAATGCATCTGAGAAAATAGACTGAAGTCTACGAAAGCTGCTGCTGCCAACATCTTTCCTTCATTGAGTCTCAAAGGGGCTACAAGAGCTCTCTAAATAATAATAATAATAATAATAATAATAATAATAATAATAATAATACCAAATGCGTCTGAGGAAGTAGACTTAAGTCTCCCAAAGCTCATGCGGCCAACTTCTTTCTTCCAGTGAGTCTCAAACAGGCTACAAGATCTCTCTAATTATTATTATTATTATTATTATTATTATTATTAAAGTCTAGGAAAGCTCATGCTGCCAATTTCTTTCTTTCAGTGAGTCTCAAAGGGGCTACAAGATCTCTCTACATACTGATTCTACAGACTAACACGGCTATATCTTTTATTTATTTATTTCAGTTAATCTCAAAGGTGCTACAAAATCTCTATACATATTAATTCTACAGACTAACACGGCTATATCTTTAAATTCTGGCAAATGTGGGATAGCTGTCAAGATATAAGAAACTCTTGTTCCATGGAGGGAAGCCTTGGGAGAGAGGGAAGGAAGGAGCTGGTCACAGGCAGATTGTATGTTTTGAGTTCTTCTACTCCCATGGCCTCTTTCTATGTATTTCCTAAAAGTTTGGGTTCCAGGGAAAAGACCTAATGGCGGATACTTGGCACTGTCTGCTGCCAAGGACAGAATTCACTGGGTTGTTGTTGTTGTGTGCCTTCAAGTCCTTTCTGAATTATGGCAACCCTGAGGTGAACCTATCATGGGGTTTTCTCGGCAAGCTTTGTTCAGAGAGGGTATCTCTTTGCCTTCTTTCCCTGAGGCTGAGAGAGTGTGACTTCTTGCCCAAGGTCGCCCAGTGGGGTTTCCATGGCCAAGCAGGGACTCGAACCCTGGTCTCCAGAGTCAAAGTCCAACACTCAAACGGTTACACCACACTGGCTGTCAACTCGCTGGATATAACATGGTAAACAAGTCTGTCCGTAGGTTGTAGCCTTTGGGTACTGGAACGAAGAGGAGGCAGGGAGGGGAGATAACGCCACTGTGGTCCAAAACACACTGCAGAAACAATCCAGTCTGAGACCACTTTAACTGCCCTGGCTCAATGCTTGGGAATTCTGGGAACTGTAGTTTTATGAGACATTTAGCCTTCTCTGTCAGAATAAACTACACTTCCCAGGATTCTCGAGCATTGAGCCAGGACAGTTCAAGCGGTCTCGAACTGGATTATTTCTGCAGTGTGTTTTGGACCTATGTTTGTTGTTGTATGCCTTTGAGTTGTTTCTGACTTACGGTGACCCTTAGGAGAACCTATCATGGATTTTTCTTGGCAAGTTTTGCTTTTGCCATGGCCATCCTCTGAGGCTGAGAGAGTGTGACTCACCCAAGGTCACCCCAGTGGGTTTTTCCATTGCTAAGCAGGAATTCGAACCCTGGTCTCCAGAGTCCTAGTTCAGCACTCAAACCACTACGCCAGGCACTGGCACTTACATTTGGGGAGCTGGAATATGGCAGCCCTTGGATGGAGTAGATGGAGAAGGAGGGAAAATGTAGGTAGAGTCCATGTGTCAGTGTTTGGGAGGGAGGGATTGCATGGGGGACATCACTTGAGACTGGGTACAAAGAGGAAGCCTGTGCTCTTGTATATTTTTTTAAAGGAGAGGAGGAATAGAGATCATCCCAAGGATTGCCATGGCTGAACAGGAATTCGAACCCTGTTCTCTAGAGTCCTAGTCCAATGCTCAAACCACTCTCTCTCTCTCTCTTTGTATATATATATATATATATATATATATATATATATATAT